TATCTGTCAATGTGAAGAACCTTTTTACCATGAAAAAAACTTCCTGTAGTTAACTAACAATTTTGATTCCAATGTAAACATAAAACAAACTTTGTCAAATGGAAACTTTATTGAAAATGTGTAGTTATTATTAATTTCATTTGTGGAACATAAAACTGGACCATGAACTTCGTTAGGACTAAGACAAAGATCCTATGCATCAATTCAGAATGAATTTTCAAACCTTTGAACCATAAGCTGTGTCAGTATTGTACATGATTTTCAATGTTTTAATGTAAAGGAAATCAAGGTGATTATTTAACAAGACAAAATCTTGCATTTTAGTTTCTGAGAAGTCAAACAAGAAAAGAAAAAAAAAGTTAAAAGCTCTGCAGGGGGCATGCTTGAGGTGATCGGCCACAGCAGAATCCATCTCATGAGCTGTGGCTTTGTTGTTCCACTTCAGAACTGCAGCTAACATAAAACACAAACAAGACTGTTACAATTAATGCACACACAAAGCATTAAAATCTCTTGACAAAAACAGACAGATCTGTGGAAGGTGAAAGCCATTCTAACATCATACTTATTACTTATTTAGTCTTACTTATCAATTAATAGTCACAATGCCACAAGGCCTTTGACAGCTTTTAATTCACATATATTTAAACCTTTCAAATCTGAAATATGTTTCCATATAATATACATAATATTTTCCTGTCTGCAATGTAGCCAATAAGGAGACAACTGATAATTACAAATCTATTTTTTAGTTATTTTTAAATGTTTATTTCAGTGGGCTTCTAAACAACTGCAAAGTAGTGATGTTGTGATATGTTCTTTTAAATGCAAAGGGCTTGAGCTTGTCTAATTTTATATACTGTCTCTAATTTTATATATTCTCCTAAGACTCATGAGATTTCTAAACTCTGTACTAGACTGCTGGGAACTGAAAAGCCTTTCTCTTATTTTGGTCAGTGTTTATTTGTTAAAAGAATAAAGCACAGCCCAAAGAACGAACTGGGTAGTAAATAGTACAGAATGCAGCTATATAACATAGGAAGCATCACAGAAAAGCTCAGTATTATTATTTGACTTTTTTATATGCCTTACAAATTCCAATATCAAATTTGACTGAAATGACTACAATTAATGATTCTGCTTCTTTAGTTTAGTATTGGTGTTAAGTGTAACATTGCTCAAACACTAGAAGACAATATTAACCCATATTTTTCCATAAATACATCCCTAAAACTTCTCTCAACCCTCTCAAACCTCATCTAGGTCTCCATTAGAGTCAGCAGACTTGTCAGTGTAGTGTAGGACACAGAATGACTTACTTTGAACTATAGAAATGAACAAAACCTCACCAGTACGGCCATTTTAGGCAACACAAAGGCTGCACAGGACTGATGTTGGATAAGTAATTATGACTGTCATTTCCATAAAAAACGATTCTAGCTCAGCAATCCTACTCCTGAGACAGAGAGGTCACCCACGGCACTTACTCTGTGATGACACTGTGTCCACTTTTATAGCCCACAGTATGTCATACTGTGTTGTACACCACACTGAAAAGTCTGCGCCACCTTAATGAAGACATGAAATGATTTAGGTGTATATTGACTTCTAGTGTTTGTTAGAAATGTTAGCTTCACAGCTCCATTGCTAAACTAAAGACAAAAACTTTGGACACCAATTATGTCTTGGCCAAAAGACTACATTGGGGGTAAATTTAAATTTTATATTTTGCTGAACCATTCCTTTAAATAGGTTTTTAGTCATAAAATGAGTGTGGCAACTGATAACCAGGAAACCGGTACATAAATTGTTAACACATTATGTTCTATTCTGTTTGCGATAATACTTACTTTTTTAACTTGTGCATATTATTTGACCACTGCCAGTATGTTGTTGTGGCACACAGACAAATCCAGTCAGCTTCTGAAACAAATATCTGTTTGCAAAAGATGACAGTCAGCTACAGTTAATTCAGTAACTGATCTCTGATAGGACATTTCATTGTCTAATAAAACCTCACTAATGATTTCAACTTGTGTAGCCAAAGCTAATGAACGAAGCATCAGAATGACTGCCACATTTCCACTCTCCACCAACATCTAGAAACACAGCTGTAGCTTCTGCAGCTGTATAAAAAAAATAAACTAGCTAGCTAGCTAGCGTTAGCTACTCAAATTACCTAGCTGCATAAGCTAACTACTTTCAAATTTGGTAAAAATAATCATTAATTGTGGTACTTCGTTTCAAAGTAAAAATATGCTCCTGGCAGTTTTAAAATGAGCCTCGAGCTATTCATGTATGTGACTACAAGCTTAGGTAAATACAGCTAATGTAGCTCAATATAGCTAACGGCTAACTTTTACAAATGAGCCCGCGCAAAAATCCAAGATGAACACCGACGTAGACACTATATGGAGTGCCACATACACACTATACAGCTACTATTCACGTTAGCGTTTTACTAGATTGATTATGTGGTGTTTCTAACAAGTTATTAGCAAATACTTATACGGGCAACAGAAACAGCTAATGTCAGAAAACGCGTGTTGCCGTGATGAATCAATAGCGTTAGCTAGCGAGCTTAGCTTTTATCAGGACCTTTACCATCAATCACACTGAATTAAGGGAAATAAAATGGCCGTTACCTTCGTTAATAAGGTTTTAATTCGCTATATTCAGCCAATACAGACAAATCTTTAAATCTGCGTTAATGACGTGCCCAACCAACCGCTATGTTTCCCGTAGTTAGCACGACTGTTCAGCACTAGCTAACCTTAGCAAGACAGCTTCAGCAGCTGTATCAAATACTAACTAGCTAGCTAGCTGGCTAACATGTACCCTCTATTGATAAACAAACGATAATACTAGATCATATTTAAAAAATTCTTTGTAAGCTTAGTGACTCGTATATGGCAAAAGGTCTACCTAAAACGGCCAGCTAACGTTTACTCACCTGGACCAATGTGGACAGTAGCGCTGTGCGCTGTGGACGGCTCGCTGAAGACTTTCTCAGACGAGGACCTTCCAAAGGGGCAGTGATCGGTGTCCGTTCAGATGGAAATCTTCTTTAACCCACTTGATACATCCAACAGACCCACAGCGCTTAAATGACAGGACTGCCTTGCTGACAGTGGAAATGCAGTTGCAAACAGGATTGCAAATATTCATTTTGGCAGAGCTGAAGGGCCATGATGACGAAATACAATAAAATGGGCATTTTTTATGTCAGAGTCAGACCATATTAAGATAATGAAAATGAATGGTCAAAAACGCTGCTTTTCTATATTAAAGGTTTCCAGCTATTATACAATACAATAAATTAAAACGCAAATATGTTTGCATTCAAATTTGAATTGTGTCTTAAATAATGCACACTGCTATGAGATATGCAATTACAAACACCATTTAGCACTTGCATTTAAATTTGAAAAAAGTCCAGAAAATATAGAAAAGCTGATGGCACCATGTTAAATAATGACAAACACACTCCATGTGATGTCATATGGCATGTTCTTTACACCATAAAGACAAGTGAAATATTATCAAGCTTCAGCATTCAACATCTAACATAACAGTAAGCCAGTCTATATTTAACATTTGGTATCTTTGAGAAAAGAAACATAACATAATATCTCTGGACTGGAATACAGCTTTCTTTTTGTTGTTTCTTCTTCTTCTTACTATTATTATTATTATTATTATTATTATTATTATTAGTAGTAGTAGTAGTAGTAGTAGTTGTTGTTGTTGTAGTAGTAGCAGTAGGCTAGAAGCAGTGGTACTGGTATTGTTATTATCATGATCGTTATCATTATTTTTGGGTTATAGTGAAACGTCCATTGACGTTATTAACAAATCACCAATGGACTGACTTATTGAAACGGATTTTGGACGTCTATTGACGTTATTAACAGGTCACCAATGGACTGACTTTTTGAAACGGATTTTGGACGTCTATGGACGTTCTTAACAGGTCAGCAATGGACTGACTTTTTGAAACGGATTTTGGACGTCTATTGACGTTCATAACATGTCCCCGACTGACCGACTATTTTAAACACATTTTGGACGTCCACAGACGTTCTTTGTTTACTGGGCTAGCTTTTAATTTGCAAGCCTTGCAGTTTTTCCATCAATAACAGCTAACGGAAATCCTGATCCCCTGCATAACATGAATGCAGGGTGTAATTTAATCAGCCAATCAGCAGTCTACATTTTTAAACAAGCAAGCTTATTGGCTCACAGATGCTGATAAGACCGGCTGCTTAGGTAGCCCATTGAAGCATATGCAGAAAGTACAACCAACGTGTAAGACTGAACTTTGGAGGTGTGAAAAGATATTCCTGAAGGTTTCTTTGGAAAACTGAAAGCAAGTCTCAAAAATCCTAATGCTAAAAAAAGAAAAACTTGTATTTAACGGCAGTTTTGACTGGAAACAGCTCTGACCTTTGAACAGTACTGTACGATTCCTCATTATTTTGATTACATTACCGCTAAAATTTGTAATCTCCATCTTACCTTAATATATACAATGTGGATTTAAATATTACGAACGATTCACTGTTTTTCTTTTCAAGGATCCCATGAACAAGGCGTGAATACAATGATACATTTCCCGCTATTAAGATAGATAGATAGATAGATAGATAGATAGATAGACAGACAGACAGACAGACAGACAGGGAGATTTCAGACAGAAATGATGACGAGGAAAACGAATAGCAACCACACCATTCCCTGTCCATCTAAACTCCAGTTAAGTAGAGCAGTAACTTAGGGTGGTGTGGGGATTCCCCACCTGAGGGGAAATGAGGAGGGAACAATTCCTTTAGTTTTACTATCTTCGCCGTCAAGCTCATAAAGCTCCTAATATAGGGATGTTTGAAATATACATATAGTACAGTTTGCAGATTGGGTTCTCAGTGTCACTCTCTCTCTCTCTCTCTCTCTCACTCACTCACTCACTCACTCACTCACACGCACACACACACACATACACACAAACACTCACTCACTCACTCACTCTCTCATGCTGTTCAGTGATCATGGCGGACAGTGCGAGTGAGAGTGATACGGACGGTGCGGGCAGCAGCAGTTCTTCTGCTGCCCCTCAGTGCCCGTCCTCATCTTCCACCAAGCCGGGCATCGTGATTTCTCCCTTTCGCCTGGAGGAGTTGACGAACCGCCTGGCGTCCCTGCAGCAGGAGAACAAAGTGCTGAAAATCGAGCTGGAAACGTTCAAGCTGAAATGCAAAGCGCTGCAGGAGGAGAACCGAGACCTGCGCAAAGCCAGCGTCACGATTGTAAGTGACAGGAGAGCCACCGTTTCACGCCTCCCGTTTTAATGTGTTTATATGCACGTCCGACTAACGTTTTTGCTGTTGTTAAATATCTTGCAGACAAAGTCTGTCTTGACCCATGTTTGCTAGCTAAACAGCCAAGCTAACGCTAGCTAGCAGACTCTATTTGTTATGAACCAGTAGCTAAGTAGCGAGCTAACCTACTTAGCTAATGTTATTAGACATCATTAACGTTACTTTAGCTAGCTTAGCGTGTGTTGCTTAGTTACAACAACAAATGAGCTGTATGAATACCCTTAATATAACGTGACTTTTATATGCTTTGTCTTCGTGTCAGTGACATTTTATTATTAAGTCACTGAATTTATACTTCAGCACCCGACCAGTTCAGCTAACGTTAGCTTTATGTTAGCAACCTGAGCAGCTCATGTTCTTTATAGTTAGCTGATTAGCTCAGTACTCAAAGACAGCACGATAATGCATGGTGTGCGCGTTTGGAATAGCAAATAGTGTATGCTTAGCAGAGATTGAGATATGTCTGGCCTTCTCACCGTTAGCTTTTTACTCTGTCAGGTTTTGGGTCATCACTGTTATTTGTTAATCTGATTTGAGAGTCCATCCCGCTGGACAGAGGTTGGTGAGGCCTTTGCAGATTTAAATATTACATACAGTAACAAACAGCAAAGGCATCTTAGGTAAATAATACTATATGTTCAGATAATGATACATAACTTGGCATATCCTGTGAGCGAGGGAACTTGTATCATGCCTAACATTTATTTAAATGAATTTAATGTGACAAAACATTGCAACATTAACAAGTCACTTGTCCTTACACTAAATTCTATCATAAGCATAAGCACATGCATAATTGTTTATGGAATTTGATATGTTTTGTGCTGTAATGGTCATTCCTGCATTTAGGAAAGATTAATGGCCTGTCAAGCCTTGCTGCTGCATTGTCCACCTAATGCTAATACTGTGTCTTTACACAGCATGTGTGCAAACCTGAAAAGTTATGTTCATAGTGGACATATATCCTGCTGTATACAGCTGCTTGTAGCTGGCAATTTGTTCTTCCATTTTGACTTGGAGACTGTAATAAGATGCCAGTCTTATTGCCAATTAGGTTGGTGCACATCTTGACAAATGAATACAGTTGTTTGTGAGCACTGGGTCAGTTCTTGTTGTAGTCTCTGGTTCCCTTTAGTTTTGGGGCCTGTTAGTGACAGTTGGCACTATACATCTAGAAACAACTCTTCACTGCTTGTGCTGTGGTTTCAGTTCTCTTTTATACTATGAATTTTATTGCAAAAGACATCATCTGCCTATATTGTAACCTTTAGAGACCAGAGAGACCAGCATTTTATTTTTTAAAGCAAGCAAACCTAAATCTGTGTTTGTAATTAGGTTACATCTACTCTTTTTGAGTATGTTCTATGAATAATTGACCTCATTCTCCAATATCTTTCTTTTTTCTTAAATGTGTTCTTGAGAAAGGACCAAAGAAAAGGTCTACATCAGATTCATGATGTGTTCTTAAACCACAGAATTGTTCTCACCTTTCTGCTCTTGAGTGTGTGTAGATTCTGTTCCTACCTAAAAACAAATCCCAAATAAGAAAACATGATTAAGTAGTGAAAAACAGTCAGGCATTGCTTTGAAAAAGGAAATATTTATTAAAAAATTCACATTAATAATAACTTTTTGTTATGCTGACTGTGGTGGTCTCTACCTTTTTGTTTAATACCTTTTTTATAGAGTGATATTAGCAAAGAACAGCATCTACACCAACGGGCCATTTCATTTAGTACATCTTCTTGTATCTACACTCTTTGTATCTCTTTGTATTTATTAGGTTTGTTTGCCATGTCTGTGCATATTTCATATTTCCTCTTAAAGTTTAGTAGCTTTGAAAGAAAAGATATCTGATTGGTATCAGCCCATATTCAAGATTTCAATTATTCAGTCTGAGAACATCCCTAAATACACCAGAATATACTAAAAACAGTCGTTCACCTAAACTTTACTGCTTAGAATGTGAAATGTAGCATCATTCAAATGTAGGCAATGTTAAGAAAGACACAGACACAGTGAATTCAGAAAAGTCTTGATGGCTATATAAGTATAATATGACATCAGCTTAAGTTGCCCCTCAGGCAGCTTTCTTATTCACATTCATTTACCATGCCAGCACTTTGAGGTGAGAGAGTTCGACACTGACTGCCAGCTCCTAAATATTTGATAATGTTCCAGCTTCACTGTCCACCCATTGTGGTAACAGTTTGCCTACAAATGAGTGTGTCCTTGAATACTGAATTGCATGTATACTTGTATTTCTTTTGAGTCTTTGTAATACACAGAATGTCTGCCGATCAGATCAAATGTGCAGTTTCATTGTTGTAAATGAATTTTCAAATGTTGTACTTTCTGGTCTGCAGCAAGCCAGGGCAGAACAAGAAGAGGAGTTCATCAGTAACACGCTGTTCAAGAAGATCCAGGCTCTTCAGAAGGAGAAAGAAACACTAGCCGTCAATTATGAAAAAGAAGAAGAATTCCTCACCAACGAGCTCTCTCGAAAACTTATGCAAGTGAGTGCTGAGCCGCAGTCATACTGGGTTAGCTTTGTTTGTTCTCCGTGGACTGCAGGACAGTTTATATGTACTCTAAGTTTCCTGTTTATTTGGTAGATCTACCTTATACGCACACATGTACACCTTTGAAGTTCAGCTGTCATTATGTACTTGTCTACATGCTTTTTACTTATAAGGAAAGTTAATAGCCTTCTCAAAATTGCCATTATAGTTCGCTGTGGCACGTAAAAATGTTTCATAGTCGATTGTGAATGTCACTGGATCCACTGCTGAGTAATTGAACTGGCATCAGAAGAATGGCAACCTCACTAAAATACCCCAGCAAACTTGTTAAATGTTGCTGTTAAGCTACATTTTGAATAGCTGTTGTTACAGAATGGAGCTGAAGAGCTGTTTTAAGTGTGATTTCATGCAACATCATTTCAATGCACAGGAGTGTTAGCTTGTTTGTTGCATATATGTAGCAGTATTCATATTTCAGCTCCTCAGTGACCTCATAATTCATTTTTGTTTATCATGGGGTGTGATTGTGGCAGTTTTTTAACTTGGTTATAATAAGCTAACTGCTAAACCCAGAGTTTCTTACTTGGGCTTGCATGTGACAACAAATGACACATGACTTAACAGGTCTGTTGGCTTTTTACTATGTACACCTTCCATATACCTACACCTTGTATTGCACCTTTGGTATGGAACAATTAGTCAACACACACATCCTTCCTGTCCAGCAATGGAAAAAGACTGCAATAGTCTTCTGTTGCGTGCCACATTATTTAGATGTCAGATCATTGTCAGCACAGCAGTGACATTGACATAGTGATGTTGGTATGAGAGTGTCAGGGAGTTCAGCAGTGTTCTTGGTGTTTTTAAACACCTCAGTTTCACTACTGGGTTGTGCCCCCCAGCAATGACCCTGTCGTCAGAAACTGACTGCTGATGAAGACCTAGACCAATGATGCTCATTGCACGCCATAAGCTTGAATTGGCGGCTCCTGTGGCAGTGAACAATTACTGTGTAATAGCATAACCTATAGGATAATAGCTTTAATATTAAACAAAAATTGGTCATCATTTTTCAGTATACAAACTTAGTTGAATATTACTGCATGCTGTGAATTTGAACTGGCATGAGATATAAAATGATATATAAAATATCAACAGCACAAATGATGCAGGCTTGTTTTATACAAGGAGCATCAAAGCACAGATTTCCACAATGCTTTTACTTTTATACTGAAATGTATTTTGTATATGCTTCTAACATAAAGATCACTTTGTGCACTTTTAGGCTGAATGGCAAAACACAATATATATCTTGGTGGGCTAAATGTTAAGTTGTAAATCAAAGCTACATGACATTGCACCCAAGAGATAAGAGGGAGGCAGTTGTAAAAACAGCATTGCCAAAATTGTACTCTATGGTAAAATCTTCCCTGTTGAACATAGAGACTTTGGCTTTATGTGGCATAACCTACACACCAGAATAGCTTTGAATCAGGGGAGTATAAATTGGCAGGTTTAAAATGTTCCCCCTGACTATGTAAAAGCTGCTGACGTTTTAACCAAAATTAATCTTAAAAATGACTGCCATTTTGTAGCACAATATCTAATTTATGTTTATGCAGTATAGTGTACGTGTGTTTATAACCTAGTTCATTAAACACTCTGGATTTGTCCTAGCTAGATATCACCTATCTTATTAGAGATTATTGGGGTTAATTTATTCAATAAGACATTTTCAAAATCTCATTAAAAGAGAAGATGCAAACACTGTCACGGTTTTACAAAAGAAAAGAGTTACAATGCTGCATCAAACTATATCAATATAAACATCATTGTCTCGTCCTATATCTCCTTTGAAAACATATCGATATACTATAACAAGTCGATATACCACCCAGTCCTACTCCTGAATGAGGACCACTAGGCTTCACAACAGCTAACAAATGGTACATGGAAAAAGATAAGATAGAATCTTTAACTGTGCACTCTGCAAGGTGTACCAACTAATAAAGTGTCAGTAAGTGTAGAAGCCTAAACCTCAAAGCCAGAACACATTGTTTTACCTAATTCAGCAGAGATGAAAGAAAATCCAAGAAATGATGATGATGAAGTAGAACTGGGCGATATGGCCAAAAATGTTGTCACGATAAACAAAATTCATATTGTTCGATATCAATACATATCATGATAAATGTCATCATTATTTCTTTCAAGTTTGAAGGCTGATTTTTGCTCCTAGGTGGTTAATTGTGGTTTTAAACTATCCTTTATGGTCTGAACATGACAGTCATTGTGGAACGTTTCACAAATCTGTCTTGGGAGAGTGGGAGAAAGTTTCTGAGCTGTTTTTATCAGCTGCAAAAGCATGGCCGCAATTTTTGTAATAGTCCTAATTTAAGAAAGAAAACAGATTATTTTTAGCTGTCTGTTGACGAGCGCTCGGCTATCCCGTTACAAATGACATCACAGTATTCAAACACCAGCTAGCGACGACTGGATTTCTCTATACTATTGTAGTAGTTTAAGGGGTGAACCGCAAAATATCAACACCAGACAAACGGAGTCCTCTTTTTAGGTCTGTTTAAACTGAAAGCGGTGCTTTTGTGTCGTGTTTGATCTACAGTATCATCAATTCGCTGTGCTGTGCAAGTGATGGAGCGCTGCTTCAAGTAAGCCAGCTGCTAAAAACGACTAGCCTGGAAAGATAGCGTTCTCCCGCTTTCCAATGCCTCACAGCTTCCTCAGTTTACTTTCGTTTAAATCAGGGCTGTAACTGCATGAATTCACTTCATTCTTTCACTTTCGTTGCTTGGGAATGCACTAATACTCAAATCTGACTTTTGGAGCGCTGTAACAGTGCTGTAGTTGTGAGGATTGTGATTGTGATCTAACGCTGCTAAAGCTTGTTAGGATGTACGGAAAGAGGTGAGTTCACTGTAGGACAGTACAGTTGCACCACTTATCTCGTTACTCACACTTGGTCACAGGAGAGCAGATCGCTGGTCGCTCCACTCAAACAGGGAATGTATAACTCCACGTTTCAGACGTTGCTAAAGACTCATCTTACTCATGGCTCCCTCCCTTTCTAATCATGTCGAAAAACTTGGAAGTGCGCCCTCTCCTGGCGAAAGCCGAGTAATGTCGCTTTCCTTGCAGTAGAAAACGCCACAAGGGCTTTCGCTGAAGGTGGAAGTGTGAGAGTGGTGTATTATATCGAAAATGTATCAAACATGTCTTATCGCTCTATCGAGGAAAAGTTATATCGCGATAATTATCGTTATCGCTTTATTGCCCAGCCCTACGATGAAGCAGTGCTTTCAGTAGCCTTTATTAATAGCTTTCTCTAATGGCTTAACTTGAGAACAGATGTTTGGTTCCAGTTTTGGACTGTTGCTCAAGGTCTGTAGTGACAGATATTTTGTACTGATCGGTCAGTCATGGTGGCCTCTTGCTTTAAATCCGTTTAAAGAAAAAAAGATGTAACGACAGTTTGAAAATGCAGAATGCTCTCAGCGAGATCTTTGAGGGCGTTTAGGCGGTGCGTCATGTGCTTTTGGGGAACATTTTGGGTGGGTGGAATTTGTTGAGTGGCTCCCTAAGGTCACATTTGAGGCTTTCAGCATTTTCTGGTTGCCTTCAACATTTCTAGAAAGAAACTTAAGTGTCTATATATGGGTGTGTGTGTGTGAGGAACAGACACCTGTGAATGTGCACTGTCTCAGCACAGGTGGGAATGGGTAGAACTGTTAGCATTTTTTTTTCTTTTTTTTCTTTCCCATTGGAATGCAGCGCTCTGCATTAGCATCTGATAGAAGTCCCACACCTTCCACTGCAGTACTGAGAATGCATGAGTCTTGAAGACACATCTCTTCTCTCTCCTCTCTCAGCTACAACATGAGAAAGCTGAGCTGGAGCAGCACTTGGAGCAGGAGCAGGAGTTCCAAGTTAATAAACTGATGAAGAAGATCAAGAAGCTGGAGAATGACACCATCTCCAAACAGCTCACCTTAGAACAGGTATTCTCATAGTGCAAAAGCTATCATCTTTGGTGCAAAACATTTAAATATAGCAGTCCTGGGCAGTGCATCAAATTGAGCTACTTGACTTTAAGTCCCTGTGTATTAGTACCAAGGAAACATTCAGTCTCATAAAATCATAGTACATAGTAGTGTGATGGGTAGGCCTGTAACAATCATGACATTTTATCTGACCATTACATTACCAGTACAAATAATTGCGATTAACAGCGCAGTTGCCTTTTTTTTTCAATTATATGATGTTACAGTACAAGCCTAAAGGGGCCAGATGGGCCAGATTGGCCGATTAGCTATGTTGCTACCTAGCTGTCAATACTTGGCAACTCTCAACTGATGACGGAGCTTGAGCTCAAAAAAACAAAGATTACTCACAGGCTTTCACCAGTTTTCAACACTTTGGCACAATTCATGCGTAAATAAAGTAAATAAAGTGATTCAGAGTGGTTTGATGTGAAAAATGTTTATTATAGAGAAACTTACATTGTGGTGCTGATAGAAACCGATTTTGATGTCTACAACACCAATATAGACATTATATTCACTACCCAAAACCAGAAGTGAACCTACATGTCGCTGAGTTTTTATATGCAATGACAGTGATAAAGGTAAAAGGTGGTAAATTTGAAAAAATTAGTTTTTTGGGGGACTATTTTGCTCTGTGTGTACCTCTCCACCACGTATGTTTATGGCCAAAACCTTATCACAAAACTGTCATAAAACACTCTCAGGTATCAGCCAGCATATTGATGACCATGTCATGTAATAACTTTCTGTGAGGGAGCTTTTAGAGGTATTTACCTTTTCAGATATGTTTTCCTCACCACCACTGTGAAAAATTCTGAACTGAAGGTCCTCTATAACGAAGCATTTCACACCAAACTACTCTGAATGGCTTTGTTTACATCCTGACCATTTTATTATGCAGAAATGTAGAAAAATTCAGTGAAATTCCACTTTATCAAATGCAAACATTAAATAAACAAACATTCACTGCTACCCTCTAAAGATGTTATAACAGCAAGTCAGAGGTTAGAACTTTTGGGGCCAGTTTCTCAGACCCATATTAAGCATAAGTGTTGATGGTGTACATCCCCCAACCCACCCACTCAAATAACTAATAACTCATCTTAACGAAAAGGGAAGCAGCCCGTGTCCCTGTAGGAGCTGATGTTCTGCTTACAGCCTCAGTTCATTTGGTATAATGAAGCTGTTCTGTCTTTTTTCAGCTCAGGAGAGAGAAGATTGACTTGGAAAACACATTGGAGCAAGAGCAAGAAGCACTGGTCAACCGACTATGGAAGCGAATGGACAAGCTGGAAGCTGAGAAAAGGTCAGTGGTGTGTTTTATTGACAAAACCCTGGAGGGGAAGTTTAACCCAAGCAGGCTGAAAGTTTTGTTGAATACGTGAAGTACTTGAGTTGTTGTGGATGCTTTTAATATACTTAATATACTTATTATTTGTAAAATTTATATCTTCATTTACTGCATTCTTTGTTTACTTGAGTTAGGTTGATTCTCTATATTAGCCTCTCAAGCCTGAAAGTAGACCAACGCTTCACGCATACAAAGTTCTGGAGTTTCACTGTTTGTGAATTAGTAAATTGTTCCATCACGTAGTAATTTACCAGAGCCTTCTCTGATAAAAATAAATCCAAATACAATGTTATATGTTGTCAATAGAGTAAATTCCTTATTTACAAATGCATAGACATGCTAGCTGCTAATTGGTTTCTCACATCATGATATGTGTTGAAAAATAAAATCATGTGAGAGTGTACGGAAAAGCACAGAGGACATTCATAGCTCTAGTCTACTTGTGATGTCAAATAAATCTATAACCTAAGCACAAAAATACATATAAATAGGCCTGTCACAGTTATTACATAACTAATTGAAAGTAGTTATTTAAGCCTACTGCAGTTGTTAGCTTTTACATATTTCACATTGCTTTCGGTCTTTCAGACTTTAAGTCTCAGTTGGGTGTATTTTTATCAGTTGGGTTGAAGCAAATTTATATAAATAATAAAACACATTTTTCAAGGCACATCGTTGTTCTTATGAAAGCAACGAAGGTTCTGATTTTCTGACTAGTGCTATAATACCTTTGGAGGTGAAGAGGGTGTAATATTTATTTGGGCTGAAGCTGTATTTTATCATCAGGTGGCTGATAGGAATCAGGAACAGCTAAGAAGCAAGACAGTTTGGCCACTTTAGGTTTAGGCTAAAATTTGTGATTATGCTTACATAAAAATCTTGTAAAAGAAGTTTGGAGGTAAGACAAATAATAAACCAGTTACAGAGATTTCAGAGTAATGTGTCTGTTCCAGAACACTTTGATGATTACACTGTTTCTTGTTCGTCTCAAGCAAAGTACTTTTAGTTTCTGGTTATTGTTTTTGTTCCTTGAACAGTTTTGGAGCCCCGATTATGTATTATGAATACTTCATAGTAGCTACTGAATAATAAGCATAAGCTTAAAGGCTTTAATTACAGTAGCTGTTTTTTTGCGAAGTGATGCGTTTTTGGGTTTGCTAATGTATCTTACTGCTGCATCCCATGGCTGTAGGATTCTTCAGGAGAAGCTCGACCAGCCAGTCTCTGCTCCTCCTTCCCCCAGGGACATCTCTATGGAGATTGACTCTCCCGAGAACATGATGAGACACATCCGCTTCCTGAAGAGCGAGGTGGAGAGGCTGAAGAAGAACCTGCGCACTGCCGAACTGCAGCGTGAGTGCAAGAACCAGCCAAGGCTTAGCTATGCTCACTCAACACAAAACATTTAGCAAAGCATGTGTTATAGGCCATAGATAGTAGAAGGTGTCTTTGTATATCATTTTTCACATGTCTGCTTGAAATATTATTGTGAAATATCTAGGGATGCATTGAAATTCTGGCCACTGATTTGTTTATTTATTTATTTATTTTTTCTTGGCCACAAATGGCCAAAATGGTCAAACTACAATCTCAAAGTTGTTTAGTGAGTCTTGACTCCAGCATAAATTCATTGGGTTCAGTGTGTTTTTTTGAACTGTAAAAGGTTCTCTAAGCTTGCAGCAGTTGCTAAGAAGAATGCATTTGTGGTTGGAGCATGGATAGGTCAATTAGAAATAGTGGTTTAAAAAACACTGCTTTTTTTGCACTTACTGACAGATTTATGTACAGTCTGGTCCATATGTGGACCATGTCACTATTTTTGTAATTTTGCCTCTGTTCACCACCACAGTGAATTTGAAATGAAGCAGTCAAGATGTGACTAAGGTATAGACTTTTGGCGTTAATTCAAGGGGTTTAAAAAAATATTGCATTAACTCTTTAGGAATTGCAGCTGTACATAATCTCCATTTTCACAGGCTCAAAAGTAATTGGACAGTTGACTAATAAGCAGCTTCATTTCCTGCTGTGGCCTGTTCCCTCATTATTTCATGACAAATTAAGGAGATAAAAGGTCTGGAGTTGACAGATGAAACCAAGATTAACTCGTACCAAAAGGATGAGAAGAGAAGAGTATGGAGAAGGAAATGAAGGGCTCCTAATCTGAAGCATACCACATCTGTCAAACATGGTGGGTTGGGCAAACAGTGTTATGGCGTGGACATGTATGGCTGCCAGTGGAAATAGGTCACTGGTGTTTATTGATGATGTGACTGCTGATAAAAGTAGCAGGATGAATTCTAAAGTGTACGGAGTCATACTTTCTGCTTAATGACCCAAAACGTTCCGCAAAAACAACCCAAGAGCTTCTCAAGGCAAAGAAATGGAATGTTCTTAAATGGCCAAGTCAGTCACCAAGTGAGCATGCTTTACACATACTGAAAACAAAACTGAAGGAAGAAAAACCCATAAACAAGCGGCAGTAAAGGCCTGGCAGAACATCTCAAATGAGGAACCTCAGCATTTAGTGATATCCATGGGTTCCAGACATTGGGCAGTCATTCACTGCAAAGGATTTGCATTACAGTATTAAAAATAATCCTTGTCATTATAGTAAATTTATCCAATTAATTTTGAGCCTGTGAAAGTGGAGCAACTATGTAAAATGGCTGCAGTTCCTAAAGAGTTAATGCAATATTTTTGTTAAACCCCTTGAATTAAAGCTGAGTCACATCTTGACTGCTTCATTTCAAATCTATTGTGGTGGTACATAGGCAAAATACTTATGGACCTGAGTGTATATAGGTCTTTTTCAATGGCCATTGTCACAAACCAGCTTTACAGAAAATCTAGGTCCAAGCACCAAATGAGCAAGCCAAAGGCAACAGTGGCAAAGAAACCCCCCCTTAAGACCTAGAGGAAGAAACCTTGTGAGGAACCATGAGTCAAAAGGGAACCCATTCTTGTTGACGCCAGACAGTGAAATAATAATACAACAGTAGCAATATGAATAAAGGATAAAGGTTTGAAAGCTCAATTCTTTTTTTTTCTATATTCCCTGTTGAGCGAACATCAGAGAGACATAAGGAAGGAATATATACATAAGGTATACAAAAGGTACACAAACTGTCTGTCCATGACTACTGTTAGAGGCTTGTGAGAGTAACAAATGCCAAATAGATCTATGGAAACCAGTGACTATTTTTAGAAGCATATCACAGTGAAAATGAGAGTTAAATCCATGACTGTTGCTAAAAGCCTATCGTAACTACATGTTGGCATTTAATCATCTCTGAAGCATTCGCACACAGCTAGCTACTCGCTGTCTGCAAAATCCTATAATGCATCACTATGTACATACATCATGGCTTAAGAGGGCCTTTACCCCCTCTGATGACAGGTACATTTGGGCAGGTATTGTTGTGGAAATTTCCGTCAGCGTCCACTAGATGGAGCTGCATACAGTAAAAGCCTACAAAGCTGATGAAATCTTCAGGTCTGTTTACTCACACCTGCAGTTGCATTGAAATTTCTCAACATTTAGGGGAAAGTAGGAAGCCTGATGGCTCATTCCCAGGTGGGTACTGTGAGAAATGAACACTGTGCCCTGAGGCTTCTTAATGTTCTGGCCCATAGAACACTGTGATTGTCTTTTTTGTGCAAGACAGTGGGCTTGAGTAAAATCATGCAGTCATGAGCAAGTTCTGATTACAGTCATCCTGCTGTAATCTTGCTCACATTGCTGAATGTTATCTTTAGTGTATGTTTCAAAATCCTGTTGGACACAAGCCTGGCTTACTTAGCAGGACTAGGAGTGTCGAAAATAGATGACTTATTAAAAAAGTAATCACAAAAAAGAAAGCTTCAGAAATGAAGATTAACCTCATTTTAAACAGCTTAGTTTGAATTAGTACCTTTTAAAGAAACCTATCCTAATTGTACAAGGATATTAGTGATTCAAGCATTTAATGTAATCCAGGTGAAGGCCTTTAAACAAGAGACTGTCTACTAATGTGTTTGTTTCCCATACCTTATAAAACTTAGTATTGGACTTATAGTTAATGCCAGTTCAGTTCACTTTTTCTCTGAAGTATGCCTTAGCCACACAAGATCTGTGTCGTTAATAATTCTTTGTGTGTTATTTGTCTCAGACACAGAGAAGCGGGCCCAGTACATTGAGGAGGAGCGGATCATGCGGGAGGAGAACATTCGGTTGCAGAGGAAGCTGCAGCGGGAGGTGGAGCGGCGTGAGGCTTTGTGCAGGCAGCTCTCGGAGAGTGAGTCCAGCCTGGAGATGGACGATGAGAGGTATATAGTGCCACCAGTGATTCTTTCCCCTTCAGTGTTGCTCTTCAGTGAGACAGATAAGAAAACTGATGAGAAAAGTCTGTCAAAAATTCTCATTGGCACTGCCACTCATTTCAAACACAGGCTATTTTGAGTAAGGCTGGAACCACTTATCGATAACTATCGATCGTCAAATTGTGTAACTTTTTCAATTTTGTATGTTATCTGAAACTCCAGTTTTACATTTCCTTTATTTGCACGCACAAAAGTGAGTGTACATACATATTACTTGGGGCTGGGTGGTCAGGTCGTAAGTGACATAAAAGCATTTTTTTTTTTTTTTGGGAATTGAAAAAATCTAAAAGAGTAGTTTACCTGTATGGTGCTATAGTCTCAGCGTTTAGCCTAGCAACTTGGTATTTAATTCAGCATTTAGTAGGTATGTTTAGTAGCTCAGATGGCCAGTGAGAAGTCTCCACATTACTTAACTCTGCTGACGTTACTACGAACATGAATGTCTTAATATGCCACAGACATGACTGATAAGTCAGAATGAGTGTGGCTGGACTGTCTGAAGTTAGAAAAGATGTTTCTCTGTTCTCGACCTTGACATGTTTCCACATCATCCACTAAACAGAAAATAATTTACTTTGTGTAGAAGATGACAGCTGCCCCTCATCTAACATTAAACTCACTGAGTTGTGAATTAACCTACAGTGGCTAAAAGATTTCCGTGCACTTTTTGAATGACTGAGAAGTCAGAATGAGTGCAGCTAGACTGTCAGAAAATAATTCACCTTGTGTAGAAGATGATGATTGCCATTCATCTCATATTTAACTCCCTGAGTTGTGACTGTGAATGACTGAAGCATTTGCTTAATAAAAAACAAGCATGTTTAAAAAATGTCCTTCTCTGTCTGCTTTCATTGTGCTACTGAATTTGTTGTACAGCCCTTTTGGATAAATGACTAAAAAAAAAAATGCTACAGCAGTACTTAGACTAAAAATGATTCAGTCTCCATTTAAAATGTAAACAGTACCTAAAGAAGTAAATTAAGTGATCTTTGTTTGCTTCCATGTCAGCTAGCTAGTCTTTGCATAGGATAACGTCTTTATCTCCAATCTTAGTCGTATGTACTCTGTGCATGTGCAAACTTCCACATTTGCGAGTTTGAGCCTAATGCTTCAACTTTGTATCTCCCATTTTTGTCATTTTTCAGTTTTTGACACAATTTGAAAATGCTAGCAGAGCAGCGTAATCTATTTTTTGTTACAACGGTGTTCTGACAAACGAAACTACTCCGTAAGGACGCAAAGTTCACGCTGTGTGTGATTTGTCAGAAGGAGCTGACGTTACCCTTACAAACATCACTGATCATATCAAGATCAAGACTTGTTTGACGTGTTTTTTTTTCTTCCCCATTATTTCAGTTTCAAAAGGCTTTGTGCTTCTATCACTCACCTCTTTTTCAATTGGAAACTGTTCTAAATATACTGAACGTTGCTGTTAAATTGTATCTGCATTTATTGATTTTTCTAAATACCTGATCACCCCAGCACTAATTTTGAGTTTGTTTCCACTTAACTTACAAAGAGCCTACCTGTCACTGCTCAACATGCTACAAATGCTTGAAATCTCTTCATGCAAACTAAAACTACTCCTGAATTACAGAAAACATAGCAGTGCTGTGGACCCCTAGAACTAGAGCTGACACACTGCTGCCAATGTGGGAACAGGCTGTTACTAAAACAGTAGTTCCTAGCTTCAGGTTTAGTTTTTGAGGAGAGATAGGATAGATTAGCTGTTTTTCAACGCAGACCTTATTAAGATTTTCTTTGAGTCATAATAATTTTCCTTGATTTATAATCATACATATCACAACCTCACTGATATATCTTTTATTGCTGAGAAACTTCTGCAGCTTCTCTCTGGGCTTAAATCCAGTCTAATGGGGCAGTAGGTTGAGCTTTCGGATGTCTTAATACATATTCTTAGTTTGAAAACAAGAACCTTGCAGTATGTGTCCTTAGGTTTTCAAATAAAGAAAATGCACTTATTATGCAGTGCTGTGAAAAAAAACAACAACCATGGAATACCCAAAAACATCTATGTCTAGTGTGAAACTGTTGTTCAAGTGGTAATTCTTTTCTTGGGAACATCAGGATGTGAAATGGCCTGAAATATCTGGCCATCCAGCTGTCAGGGCTACATTTGGAAATACACTGGTTTGTTGATATGCCTTATTTACTGTTGCCTCTCTTATGCTGTAGGTACTTCAATGAAATGTCGGCCCAAGGCCTTCGCCCCCGCACTGTGTCCAGCCCGATCCCTTACACGCCTTCCCCGAGCTCCAGCAGACCAATATCACCAGGTATGCACACACACACACACCTTTCCCTGCTGTCAGTGAACTTAACTATGGCACAGTGCCACAGACTGACAGCCTTTAAGCCATTGTGGTTTGATAATTATACACAGAATAAGCTAGTTGTCACCCTTCTTACAGGATGAGTGGAACATTACGGGAATGGAGATGATACAGGAGCCATTTTTCCTCTTTGTATTACCCTTAAACTATTTTCCATTTAGCTATTAAAACAGAATTCATTGCTTCACAAGGATCATTCATGGTAAGGGTTGTAAATCACCAACTTTATACCTGTTTGGTCTGATTGTTTTATTAGGAGAGAATTTATGGGCATCATGAAATTTAACCATTTCATTGAATGTATTTGTAAAAATACACTCAATGTAGAAATGTGACTGGAGGAACTGTTTATGCAGTATTTTATGCAATATGTGAATATAGGCAAGTACTTTTTTCATTTAAGAATAGCCTGCAATTTTTGTTTTGAAAAAATTTGAATGTACTAACATTGTAGAGCTGCACAATAGATGGGTGACCAATATAGTATTTGCCGATTAACCAGAACATTTCAAATATTTCATACAATATATGAATATAGACAATTTAAAATAACCTATGAATTTTGACTGATAATTTTGTATTTTGTTTTTAGTGTTCTGTTTTTCAGGCATGCTGTGAAGCACTTGTAGTCACTAGTGCTATAAATTTTCCTTTTTTTTTTTGAACTATGGATAGTGTAGTGGACAACACTATTGCCTTAGACAGAGAACAAGTTTCAATTCACTGTCCAGGCGAGCATAAAAGTGACAAAAGGTTAATTATAGATTATTGTAAGGGGCCAGGAAATCCGTATCTAATTGATAGACTCATTTTGAACAAAGCAGTATGACACATTGTATTGTTGCACTCCTAGTGCATCCCTAAAGTTTTATATGTCTGTGATTCCCCTACCATTAAAAAGTGTGTTTCAGCCAAACTGACGGTCTGTTGAGCTTGAATGAGATGCAAACCTCAGGCTGGCTTTATACAGTGAAATTTTCATGCAACTAGTTGTATGTTGTGCATTGCATCATAATTTCTTGGCAACTCGACAGTTACACGAAGCTATTAAAAAAGTTGCATGCAACACATTCAGTTACTCCACTAGTTTAGACAAATTAACAGCTTGTATTTTTTGATGTGTTGTTCAATGTGATTAAACACAATCAGCATTTTGATCAGGTGTTTCATAAAACTTAGTCCATGAACTGTAGACACTTACACTGATCAGGCATAACATTATGACCACCTTCTTGTTTCTGCGCTCATTGTCCATTTTATCAGCTCCATTTACTATATAGGTCAAGTTCTAACTTGCTTCCTAGCATTGTTCTTGTATGCAGTATGCTCTCATTTTTTTGGCTCAAAATAAAATCGTAATCATTTCTAAAAATTAACATGCACTAAATACAGATGTGGCGCAGATCGGATCATTGGTATAGCATTGTGGCAGAGGCGAGCTGGTTTGTGCCGAAGGTGCAGTGCCTAGCTCTAGGCTTCTAGCATCTAGTCACAGTAGTCAAATGTAGTGTTTCAACTTTGTCATTTTATCAACGAGGAAACCACCAAGAACTCCTCCTCCTTCATGCTTGCAGATATAAGCAGACAGCTTCCTATAGCATTCTTCAAACCCTTATAATCAAAAGCAGATCTATTTGGGCTTCCTTATAGACTTGAAAGTCTAAACGTTTAATGTAGAAATTTATGTGAATAACTATTTGGGGCTGGTCACTCAATCACAGTTGCACTTCTTGAAAACAAATGTCGATATATAAGAATATAGAACTTGATGTATTCACATCGACCATGTGTGAAGTGTGTTAGCTGCCACCAAGTTTTAAGGAAAAAGGTTTTAAGGACTGTACTAATATAGTACAGTCACTGTACTATATTAACACCTCCATGCAACAGAGATAATCCCAGCACACTGCTCCACAGACCTTTGTCACTCCTTTGGCTTGCAGTTTGTTCTCACCCTTATGGTAAAGCAGCTGGTGAGGAATGTGAGTGTCTCTGACAAATGCACATCTTTTAGTGTAGTATAGTTTTAGGAAACATGTGGTCTCTGCGAATATTTGCTGTTTGTCTTAGCTGTGTCTGTGTAAACAGCCAGTATAGATTTCACCTAGGGTGACTTGACTTAAAGGGGAATTCCTTCAATTTTACCACCAATTTGTGCATGATAGTAAACAAGGTATTTCAGAGTGGCTTGATGTAAAATGCTCCACTCTAGAGGAACTTACAGATTCAGAATTGTTCATAGTGGTAGTGCGAGGAACCAGATGTCTAATATGCTTAATGCATCTAAAAACTCCCTCACAGAAACTTCTGTGAAAGATCCCCTGAAACGGGCCACCACTGTCACATATATAAACTCATATGACGTGTAGGTTTACTGCTCTTTTTGAACAGTACATGAAATAGCTATATCTATGTTGTAGACATCATGACCCCTGGATCCTATCAAACTTACTGTAAAGAAATCAGTCTGTGAGTTTCTCTACAAATAACTATTTCACATCAAGCCACGCTGAATGAAATTACATCTCAGTGATTAAATTACTCAGATATTTTAAGAAATCAGTCTTTAAGACTGCCTTCAGCAGTCTTGTCCACAAAGGGCTGGTGTGGCTGCAGATATCCGTTCCAACAAAGCAGGTGGTTACCCGAATCAGATGAGCTCCTGTTTGGAATGTAAGACCTGCAGCCACACTGACACTTAATAGATACCCTTTGACTTTTTTTTGCCTGCAGCAACTACTTTTCCGCTCACCTCTTTCACTAAGATTTAACCTTTGGCATTGAAATAAATAGACACGCATTTAAATCAAGCATTCATATTTCTGCTAGTTACAGACCTGCAAATTACTGAAATTTGTGTAAACAATTTGCACTTTTTACATGATATAATAATCTCAACTGGTGAACTACAAAGCAGCCGTGTGTCCTTCAGATGTGTAAAAATTCTACTCGGTTGATTGCCTCTTGTTTCAGTGTAGGGAACCCCAAAGTTGTATAGCCTGTTATAATGGCTTGTGTGTATGTGTAAACTCCTCTTGCAGGACTCTCATATGCCAGTCACACAGTGGGTTTTACTCCACCGGCCACACTGACCCGGGCAGGCATGTCCTACTACAATACGCCGGGCCTGCACGTGCATGTGGGGGCCTCACATGGCATCGCAGTGAGTGACTTCCATCCTCCCTCTCTTACTCTCTCTTTGCTTCTGTGTTTCCCCTCATTCCCTTTCCCTGATGTCTTTTTGGTTAATCCAGCAAAAGCTCAAGCTCAACCACTACAGAGACAGAGCTCTAAGGAAGTGAAGAACACTCTGTGTGCAGCCAAGTGCTCTTGGAGATCTTCCTGTTCTACCAATCAGATAAGCAAGGAGAATATGGATGACAGTGTAACCACTGAATTCTGAAAGTCTTTTGCATAGTTTCCATCGTTACTCAGAATGTTTCCTAGCAACCTTAGAGAACTAGCCAATTGCAGAGGAGACTGAATTGGACATTTAATGCAGATGAGAGAGACTTTATGGGCTGCCGCAGTCACTCTAGCAGTTTGTCAACACGAGAACATCATTACAACTTATAAATACCAAAAATGTATATTATGGTATAACTTAAAGCATAGCTTGTTTATAAATTTTATTCTCAAATAAAACCGTTTTAGATTCTGAAGTAAACCTATTTTTTGTAGGTTAAATATTGCTTATTCTTCTGGGATATCGCTTTGCTTTTAAGAAATTTAGAGTATCTTTTGTGCAAAGTTGGAAAAACAGAGCTAAAATAATATGTAGGTAAACCTAAGGCAAAAGCATGCAGCAGCTTCTCTTGGTAAAAAAGGTGCTGAATGTTGTTTCACGTCTGAGCTTCTCAAATCATTTCTTATACTTGCATCCCATATGCTTGTGTTTACATCTGTGAGCACTAGACGCTGCAGGAGTTTGGTAAATATTCCAAGCAATTTACACTATTGGTAGCAGCTGTTAAGCTGTGGATTCTCTTCTTGATGTGTCGTCTGACTAGGCCTGGCGATAGGGCGATGTAATCTGATGTCGTTGATGATTAACAAGTTACCCGATGGCAACATGTAAAAGGCCATAATCTGCACCAGAAGCTCATGAATGCACACGTTTACAGTAATGTTTATTATAATGACAGATAAAGTTGTTCATAAAAGATGTTGGTCTACTCCATATCATGACTGAAAGTCCTAAGAGGAAATGCCCCCTGGGAAGTTATTTGCAGTCACACAAGATTAGATCTCTCAGACTCAATATCTTTCTCTATATGGCGAGAGATCTATAGAACCAAAACTAAAAGGCATGTTAATGTGTCAAAACTAATCAGGTAAAATATGACACCTAAAAATGTCTGTAGTGAGGACCAGGGAGAGCTTAGCTTGTTTTGCACTCTATGAATGCTTGTATAAAGGTTATGATAAAACGTAATACCTTAAGAAGAATTTCAGCCAGTACACCAGATAAACCAGTATATCACCCACTACTAATTGGGACACTGTCCAGGTCAGTTTATGTAATGTTTTGGGTTTGTGACATAAAGGAGTCCAATCAAATCTTTGTTACAATGTAATAAAATTTGACTGTGGTTCTGTTAACACTGGTTTATCTAATGGCATCTTAACTAAGTGTTGATGTTGAGGTGCTTCGTCCACCTTATCCTGCTTAACCTGATTGTCTTTCTGCTGCACATATGCAGGAAGTGCATCCTCCCTTATTGTTTCTCAGCACATTAATAGAATGAGTTTAAAAATAACTGTCTGAGCCATGTTGGAGTCAACCTTTGGTGGGGAGTGCGAGAGGAAGGAGCATCCTGTGTTTCTCTCAGAATCGCACTCCGAAAAACCTTTTGACAGTTTTTTGGCTTCTGAGGCATGGAAAAAAAACGCAAAACGCTTCTCCTGCTGTGGAAACTGAATCTCTTTCTTACCAACATCAGTCAAGTTTCCTGACTTGAACAACTTGAGCACATTTCACATTATCTTGATCCAGCTTGACCACAAATTCTGTTTGAACTGCTCAGTTTAAACCAGTGGTCCACAAGCATGTGCACACAGGAATTTCAGTTCATATGCTTGCCATGTCACTTGTGGAATCTGGTGAAATACTTAGATACATTTTGAAAAATATTGAATATTGAGGTAATTAAACACTTATGGAACCTAAAATTTAATTGAAGTTGCGATGGCAAGATAATACATCTCTTTATATACAGTCTCCTTGATCTTTTACAGTTAACTTGAAGCTAGCCCAGTTAATTATACTGGTGGCAGAGTGCCAGAATAATTTAAGTATATAATTGGTATTGTCCCTTCTTCCCCCAGAGACCGTCCCCGAGAAGAAGCAACAGTCCAGACAAGTTCAAGCGCCCGACGCCCCCTCCTTCGCCCAATACGCAGGCCGGAGTGCAGCCTGGACCACCTCCCCCTCCGCCCCCAGTGCAGGCAGTACCATCGCAGCAGCAGCCACAGCATGCAGTGCCGCACTCCTCGCAGCCATAATGCAAGAGTTCTGCGGCACAACCATCGGAATGGACTCAGACCAGAGCTACTGTATTCCTACCAAGCCAAAGGCTTAACTATCCTATGTACATGGAGTTGACATCTTTCTCTTGCACTGAGAATCATATAGGCTTCACTGTTATTCTGTATTGTGTTCATGGGTTTTTTGTTCTTGTTTTGTTTTTCGAACGCAGTTCAGTGGTCTTGTGGCATCGATCGCAACACTAAACCTGCTTTTTTTCATTATGCTAGAACTTGTCTTTTGAGAGCACAGGGTCTGATTAAAAAAAAGGGAACAAGTTGATCCATTCCGCCTCAGATTTGAATTGGGAGAGATTTTAGCTGGCCCATAAACGACGGACAGCAGCATGTGCCTGTGTATGAACTGCTTTCTGTGTGAGCCCTGCATTTGCTTTGCTTACGGACAGGTAGATAAACACAAGGTACTTGTAACAAGGAGGAGAAATGCTCGATGAAAACATCTGCAGTGACTTTCACTTTTCATATATGAGTCTTCTAACAGTAATGTACTAGACATGGGCAGCTGGTGGGGAAGCTGCTGAACATTGCAGTTAAGTGCACCAGATGGGTTGGTGTAGAGTGCGGCTAATGGCCTTTAAGGGATGCAGAGGAGCAGTGGCGTTGATTTGGCAACCGTCGCCCCCCACGTCACTCTTTGCGCACTTGCTCAAATGGCTGATGAGATGGAGGCTCGTGGCAACAGAGCCTGTTGCAATCATGCCTCATGGAAAAAACCCACTCACGCAGCAATATGCATTTGTTACTTGCTTCGAGCGCATGCGTTAAATGCAGAGGGTGCCCTAGCCTGGCTTTTTTGGCTGTGGGTGTGAAAGCATCCTTATTAGCTCAAAGGGAGAGAGAATGGTTTACTTGAATGCTGCTGTTTGTGTATTGCACAATTTGTGTGCATCCGTCTGACTGTAGTCCTCTGGACGCGTACTAATAGAAACGTTTGTTGCTTTCGGCATGTCGCTGCACACGTTTGATCGAAATGCCTTGGTCTAGATAAAAGGAGAAAGAGAGGTGCAAGGCTAGTACATTGGTTCTTGTTCCCAATTCACCGCCATGTCTCCCTAAACAGTGTCTGTAACTGGTACCACTGTGACCCCCCCCCCTCCTCCCCCCAGTATGTGTTCTGTATAACATTACATTTACATTACATTTACAGCATTTAGTAGACACTCTTATTCAGAGCGACTTACAAAAAGTGCTTTGTTGTCTACTCAGAGAAAGTATCTTTGCTAGTTACAAATAGGTTAGAGAGAAAGCTAGTCCTGAGCTCAGATATTGCTAGAAACAAAAGCCCATGTTGATACCTAGAGAAAAAGAAGCAGAATTAAACATGGCACAATACAATACATTTCAATAAGTGCAGTACATTACAATAAATACGTGTTATAACATATAACAAATAATGTGGATTGACTTTGAAAAATTTCAAAGATTTGTGCTGCGTATCTCCTCAAGGCATCAGCTCGCTGAGAGAAAGTGTAAATAGACATATCTGCTTTTTGTAAGCTTTGCAAAATGTCCAGGGTCGGGGGGAGGGACACTCCTTTTTGAAACGTTTGAAATCGTGCCCATGACTAGTATGTGTTTTGTGATCTTGTCTTAGACCTTCTTGTCCATGGGTGGCATTAGTTTTGACTTGTTTTTACGATTGACTCCACCTTACCAAATGCCTATCAGTTAGTGCAGCTAAAATGCAGAACAAGATAAACACAGAGCACTTACTGTATATTGTGGAAAATGCTAATTTATTGCAAAAAAAAGACAAAAGATCAAAAACAACATCAGCTAAATAAAGATACAATAACTGGTACTAAGCGGTTCCATTGTAGTTAAGGCACAGATGTTTAGAGTGATTCTATGTTCCAAAGGACCTGTTGGTGGTGTTAAGTTTCTGAAGCGTTGCTACACCACCACCATCTTTGCCACTGCTGTGTTTACTATGTAACGCAGCATGGTGTTAGGGACAACTGTCTCAATAGAAGGTATGTTTGCAAGTTCATAGATGTATTTTTTCTTCTCTTTTCCCTTATAAATAATTCCTCATAACTCCCTGAAAACCAGGGATGATTTTACTATTTGTTGTTTAGTTTTTATTCATTTCAATGTAAATATTCTTTTTATTGTGAAACAGAAGTTCTTCTTTTACCATAAGGTGTTCAGATACATTTCAAGTTTGTGTTCAAGATTTACCAGAACGCAGATTCCACCAATTTTTTTTTCTCCCGTTGTTTTCTTTTTAGGACTGTTGACAAATGAATGTAACGTTTGTTCATGTTTAACTGCTATCTTTAATGGATGGAACACCTTTGAGCCTTAACTCACTGTGGTATTGCTAAATGTAAGCATTATCTAGCTTATCCCCACATCAAATAATTAAAGCCTTAATATGTGGTACCAGTTTGTTTGTACTTGGCTGTAATTCTATCAGTGACTGTCATTAGTGCTGCTGGAAAGTTCGAGAGCACTTTTGAATTCTCTGACTTTTGCATTAATGTGACCTACAATTAACGGATCAGATCTTTAAGCCATAAAAAAGAGAACTCAATAAAATAATTGACACACAGTTAAATACTATGTATTAAATATGTAATTTGTTTATTGTATAGATACATACATGTAGTTTGTTTATTGTATAAATACATACATATACACATTATATATACATATGTACATAAACACATTACATATATGTGTGTATGTGAACCTATACTTTCAGTAACTGGTGTGACCCCCTTAACAGCAATGTCCCTGCACATTGACTTGGAGGAACTCGGACCCATTCTTCCTTGCAATTCATTGATGTTAGTGGGCTTTCTTTGATGCTTCACATCCAGCCGCAAAGTTCTATCGGACTAAGGGCTGGATTTTGACTTGGCCATTCCTGAGGCAAAATTTCTGCTGTTTCCACCATTGTTTCGTAGACTGATTGGTGTGTTTTGTTTTTTTTTCTTTTTCTGCTAGACCAATCTTCTATTGAGCTTCAGGTCATGGATTGATGCCCTGACATACCCCTGTAGAATTTCTTAAGACAGTACAGAATTTATAGTTCTATCAATGATAGAAAGCTGTCCTGGTCTTGTTAGCAAAACTATGATACTGCCACCACTATACTTTTCAGTTCTTATTTCATCAAGCCAAAGTTAAATTTCTGACTCGCTTTTCCACAGAAAAATCTTATCGGCTCATCCTGCTGGTCTTAGGAAAACTTAGGGCATGGCCTCCCAAACTCACACCTGATTGTTATCTAAATAATTGACCACGCTGACCGATTATCCCCTATACTTAAGTGATAATCCTAGAGGTTCACATACTTGTTATTATTGGATCGTATATTGCATAAATGAATGTAAAAGCATACAGTTGTATTAAGTTTGTTATCATTTATTACTAAGATGAGGATCTGATCACATTTTATGCATGCTGAAGTCCACAGTATTCAAAAAGGTTCACAATTTTTCTAGCACTGCAAAGATCATATCAAATTGTTAGCTGGAACATACTCCAGCTGTTTAATTCTAAATAATATTTTATTTCCATGTACAGAGTGTTTGCTGGGCACATAGTGTTGCAGTAGCCACTGTGGAAACAGCCCTTGACCTTGTGTTTGGTAGCTCTCCCACAGTCTGAGTGGCTTTATCTCCTTGTGTAAACAAGGCCTCAGACAGTAATGGGCTGGTGGAATGCACAAAAGCAATCTGATCAGACTTCTGCTAGTTCAATAAATGCAGCAAATACAGCTACAGTCTGAACTGTAAAAATGTGGATCCATGTTTTTAGACATAAAACAAGACCCATGTTATTCATTTCAGAAGCTTAAACTCGGGAGTCTCCTCCCCCTTCACCACTGTCTCAACTTGAACCACCTTTAGGCTGCTTCTGTATAATGATGTGTAATGAGTGTAATTGTGATCCACTCATTGAGTTGGATGTAACTACTTAAACTCTTCAGTCTTGTCTGTTTAATATGATATGGAGTTTTTTTCTGGCTCCTCTTAAGGTTACCAAAGTCTAAATGCTACTACTTCCTTAAAGCAGTACTAAACTCATTAAGTCTTGCATATAACCTCTCTAATTGGTCTTCTCCGCTGACAGGCAAATGGACAGATTTAAAGGGGAGTTCCATTTTTTTCATTGTTGAGATGTAAACAAAGTCATTCATAGTGGTTTCACGTTGAAATGGTTCACTGTAGAAAAACTTGCCACCTCAGATTTCTTTAAAGTGGTGGTGATAGGAAACAGAGGAGTGCATGTCTACAAGGCAAATATAGCCATTGTGTCTACTGTCCAAACGACCAGTGAACTTGCATGTGTCTTCTAAATTATATGTAATGCTGATAATGGTAAAATAGAAGAAGATGCTTCAAGAGTTCTTTAATAAAGAAAATGGTTCTATATAGAACTATAGACACTCAAAGAACCCTTTGCATGATGAAAGGATTCTTCAGATTCATAAAAACGTGCATGAATGTGCTGTAGATGGTTCTATATAACCTTTTTTTAAAGAGGTACTATATAGCACCCAAAAGGGTTCTTCTATTGTTACAAGCTTGACATCATAACAATAGAAGAACCATTTTGGCTGCTATATAGACCCATTTTCAAAAAGGTTAAATATGGAACCATCTACAGCACATTCTCCATTAATCTGATGCAAAGAACTCTTTAATCATGCAAAGGGTTCTGTGAGTGCCCATAGTTCTATATAGAACCATTTTCTTTATTAAAGAACCCTTGAAGAAACCAATCAGTTCTATTGTTAACGCCTTCGCTTTAGAGTATTTGTAACCATTCCATGTAACATTTTGCGAAAATTAGCTTTTAGAGGCATTCGACTTCGGAGTCTGGTTCTAGCACTACAGCTGAGATTGTACTCATTAAATTTCACATCAAATTTTAATGACTGCTTCCTAATAATTTCATTATGCAGACAATTTTGAAAAATATCTGGACTTTCCCTTTAATTCACGCACCAAATGCAGTCGCAAACGCCAACAGCAGAAAGCTACCATCTTGTGTTGACACAGACAACCTGTGAAAACCTCACAAAACATCTTCGCATTGACTTCACTGTTAGGAGAACTAGGCTCACTAAGCATTTGAGACGTGCAGTTCTTGCAGGTCATATAACTACCATTGTGGTAAAATAATGTCGTCATGTTGTTCTGTGACCATGTTTCACACGACAGACAGTAGCAGCCGCATTGTTGAAACAGCATCGGCAGTGTAGTCACCAGCAACCGGTTTGGACTAGAAACCGCACATGCAGCTCCAGTGACACACGTGGCACGTTGTTTATGGTCCAAGGTGGATTAAAATGCCAGATAAAGAGAAGCAAACGTGACAAATCACTACGTACAAGATTACGTACAGACGTTTAAGAGCATCCAGCAGTCATTTATAAGACAGGTGAAACACAAGGCTTAAGTGTTCCCTGTTCTCCAGTTTCTTGTGCGAATTTTCCCGTTCCACCTTAAATGGAGCAGCAGTTGCATTCTGGCGACTGAGGCGCCAGCGTGCAACTGCTGCACCGTTTAAGGTGGAACGGGAAAATTCGCACAAGGAGCTGACTTCAGCTTCATAGCTGAAATGGCAGGCAGTGACAACTTGTCACCTAACGTAAATCTAGCATGATGTAAACCCAGCATAATGTAAAGCTGGCATGAAGCCCTGTAATACGGTCTGTGGATATTTATGTTTTGGTTATGTCGTCAATTCAGAACGTATAGAGTATAAAGTTGGTCAGCACAACATATGAGCCACATAAGACAGGTGAAAATTTCAGTTTAAGAACAGGACGGCAAGGTTCGCCATGAGGTCTCTTTTTTTCCAAGGAAATGTAAAGGGATGAGGAGGAAGTTCTGAGCCTGGCAGCGCAGGCAGACCAGCGAGAACAGCTTCAAACCGGTTTCAGCACCGGCCGGCCAACAAAAGCTGGCTGAGAGCTGAGAGAGAAAGGGAGACAGTGAAGAGAGGTAGGAGACAGTGCACAGAGCTGTGATGAAGAACCCTGTAACGCTGTCTGTTTTTTACTGTCATTGTTATAAACCGTCATGATACTAACATCACATTACATGGTGGTCCAGAGAGCCAGTTCACCATCGCACTGCGCTCATTAAAACTGCATTATTCCTGCCGGGTTGGCTGCACAGACTGGTATTTTGGTAAGTGCTGTTTTTTAAGCTCTGTCATTTCGAAAAATGTTAAATAATTTGAGTATAATGTCAAATGGAATGTTTTTTTGAACGTTCCATATTGTTATTATTTTAACGTTAACTGAAATAGGTAGCAACGGTTGTTGTGTTCGTTGTTTACGCTTTTCACAGGTTTGGCACACAAATGTGAGGCTGGAATTTATGTTAATAGGTTTGAGTGATTTATATTCGACTGACGTGGGGAAATGACAGTAGCGAATTAAATTGGTGAGGTTTGATATCAAGACGCTCATAACGTTAGTACTGCGTTCTGCACCGGTGCGCCTCAGCACTGCTGCTGCTGCTCATGTCTGCCACAGTGGCGCAACACTTGGATCTCTAACGTCAGAGTTTGGACCTTCTTTCTCAAGAGAGGGGTTTAAAATGACAGTCCCTGGTACTGCCATGGTAGTATTATTTTGTCTGATAGATGTGTAACCAGGTTGAGTAATCCTGGTATTTTTTTCTTATTTGCAAGAAAAAATGAGAAAGAATTCCTTGAGTTTCCCTTGCCAGGTGGCACCATTGTGTGTAGTCTCTTGTAAACAAAAGCTTGGCACCAGTGTTAAATTACCTCCTCCAGTTCATTTAGCAACTAGCAATGTGATCTCTACTGTCTGTCTATCTCTCTATCCATATATGCATTCTTTTTTTCTTTTGGTCTTAACAGGATTCCTAGAAGAACCCAGCATCTAAACATGAGTCCTCAGAACTCAAAGAAAGCCCTGGATGGGGGCTGGGGTTGGGCCATTGTCGTGGCCTCCTTCATGGCCCAGCTTCTGGCCTATGGCTCCCCCCAGTCTGTAGGGGTGCTCTACCCAGAGTGGCTGAGTGCCTTCCAGGAGAGTAAGGGAATGACTGCGTGGGTGGGCTCCCTGGTGTCTGGGGTCGGACTCATTGCCAGTAAGTTAACAGCCTAGTGTTAGATGCTTTGATATCATATAACATCTAGTTCTTCATGGTAGGCCACTCACATACATGGTACATCTTTTGATACTCTGGCACATACATACTTTGCAAGAACTTAAGCTCTTTCGGTTGCCTAGTGTCATGACTAGAGGTGGCAAAATGCCATATCACAGTACTTCAAGACATTTTTACAGTGCACAATATGTCACAATATTTGTTACAATAAGTTATACACACTTCTTTGTGTAACATGTATCAAAACTAAATGGAGATAATCCAAACCATGCAACACTTCTATTTTTGAAGTATGAACTTTTTCACTATGGCAAGCAAGTTGTGAGACGAGATGCCAGGTTGGATTTCCCACTGACTCTCACCCCTTTTTAAACTGATAAACTTAAACTGACCTTGGTGTTGGTTTATCGAATGTCATCATGTCTTGTTATGAAACATGGGTTACATCACAACGCTGGCAAGCCAAATGGATTTCTCTGCACCATTTGGTCCTTACTGGGGGTAGCTCAGCGTTTTGGCAGAATTTCTTGCCTGTGGTAATAAAATTCCCTGAGTCAGCGAAATTCTTACTGCATTCATACACCTTCATTTTACCACTATCAGGCCTTCTGTGCTGGCTATAAATTATGATTTGATACATTGTAAAGCAGGGCTTTCAGCTATGTATCAGATATAGTCAAATTCAGTTTTAATTACCATGTTGGTTTCTCTAACAGGATGATGCTGTCCTACTTGTGTGCAGGTCCCATCTGCAGTGCCTGTGTAGTGAACTTTGGGGCCAGGCCCGTGACCATCTTCAGTGGTGTTATGATCTCCGGAGGCCTCATGCTCAGTGCCTTCGCCCCCAGTGTCCACTTCCTCATGTTCTCCTATGGCATAGTTGTTGGTATGTCCTGCGTTTATTAGGGGTATAAAAATATATCAGTTTAATGATGGAAATTTGATTGTAGCAAGTCAAGTCAGTTATTTGTTGTATTATTTGTGTAGTTTATACTGTATGCTGTTGCTGTGTTTGGTGCATCTAAAACCCCCTTACCTCTGGTCTAATCACTGCAAAACTTTTTTTCTGGATTATTACTTTTATAAAACGGTAATAACATACAATAAGATCAAATACTCAAATGTTCAATAGATAATTTAACTTATGTAGTTAGTTCAGAGTTTGCTGTTGTTGCTAGGCAACCGTTACTGCTGACTAAGGTTAACTTAGTTGACTTGGCTGCAGTCTTAAAGGTTTAGCTCTGCCGAGTTTTCTAAAGATTTGAATCATTCCGAGTTTAGAGATTTACAACTGTAGCTTAACATTAGCTGAATAAATCTCACACTTCACAGCAGAAAAATGTGGCCAGTATGCCACAAAGATTGCAGTGGCTGCAATCTTTAAGGTTTAGCTCCAGTCACTGATCCTGTAAGGAAGTTTTCTTTAATTTGTGTAACTTTTTGGTGGTTTTCAGTTCTCATAACTAAAAAGAGTGATTGTAGTATATCATAGTTGTACATTTTCTTTGGACTACATTTTCACAGACAAGGAAAGAACATCTAATGGAGAGAGTGTGGAGAGTCAGCTGAGAACTCTGAAATTAAGAACTCTGAAAGATTCATGCATTCCTGCAGTCACGTTCGAGTAGTTAACGACATAATGCACTTATCCCCTTATTTTACTGTAATAGACATGTGCTTTCGTTTCTACAGGACTAGGCTGTGGGCTTCTGTATGCTGCTACTGTAACCATCACATGCCAGTACTTTGACAAGAGACGTGGCCTCGCGCTTGGCATCGTTACTACAGGTAAACACTGTTATTGCTGTAAATGTGGCTAATGCCAGATAATATATAGCTGTTTGAAAACACTGTAATGTCACATTAGAATGTAGCATTTAGAGATGTCCTGATCTTGTCTGAAATATATGTATCGGATATGGTTCATCCATATTAAGCCTGATCAAATTCCGATTATTACTTAGGTTCAAGAGTTTTTTGATACCAATATAAATAGCAATACCAGTTCATGAATAATACCTTTTTCAGTAACTTCTTTTAAATTACATTCATATTAAATTATATGGGTAAAAAGTGGGCATGGCACAAAGCAGAAATGAGTGTGAGGTGCTGGAATTGGGTATATATTTACTGACCTCAACAGACTTCAAACTGGTTGAACTTTGGGCCTGCAGGTGAGCCCTGGTCATTTAAGGGGTTAATATACAGAAAAAAAAACTTGATTTGCACATCTCTAATATCCTTTCACATTGCTTCTTCTTTTTAGGTACAAGTGTTGGAGGATTCCTTTATGCCACTGCACAAAATGAATTCATTGAGCTCTTTGGTCTTGAGGGATGTCTGCTGCTCATCGGCTCCTTCGCACTGAACATCATCGCCTGTGGTGGATTGATGAGGCCGTTGCACTTACCAGCTTACTACCTCAAACAGAGAGCTGCCCTGGTGGAAAAAGTTGAAGAGAAGCTTAAAGAAAGGCCCCTAGCCAGGGAGAGCTCCATCAAAAAGAACCTACCCGTCACTGACCTGCTGATCATGATAGACTCTAAAGACCCTCTGGCTTATGAGAAGAGGCTACTGAGCTGCTCTGCTTTGGTGAAGCTGCTCAAGAAGAAGCAGAAGGCATACTCAGAGTATTTCCGCTCCATGGCAGAGAGGCTGCAGGACCGTGTCTTTGTGGCCATGTGCGTGGCTCTGTTCCTCTACAGTCTGGGGGCATTTCCCCCGCTTCTCTTCTTGGAAGACGTGGCCCAGAGTGAGGGACTGATCGAGGGCATAAGTGTCATCCCCCTGGTCTCCATCATCGCCATGGCAGCCGGAGTAGGGAAGCTGCTGCTAGGCGTGGTGACGGACATCCGCTGGATGAACAGCGTGTTCCTTTATGCCTTCACCCTGGTGGGCAGCGGTGCGGCTCTGCTGGTGATCCCGGTCACCAAGAGCTATGTTGGACTCCAGGTCATCTCAGCGGTGCTGGGATTCTTCTCAGGAAACTGGTCCATCACACCCTACATGACCACTAAGGTGGTGGGCATAGACCACCTAACCGAGGCCTATGGGATCCTGATGTTCTTCGGTGGATTTGGAATTATGCTGGGACCTCCAGTTGTAGGTAAGTACTGCCACTCCCCACCCCACCCCCAAGCTCTCCAACTGCCTTCTATCAGATTGTTGGAAAAATTTATGTATATTTTTTGAATATTATTACAGTCAGTTATAATCTGTGAGCCTTTACATTATGAATGAAGAAGTGCAGTAGATTGCTGGTTCCTTGAGTGATTCCACTGTAACGTTTCATATTGTTATCTGTAGGCTGGTTCTATGACTGGATGCAGTCCTATGACCTGGCTTTCTACTTCAGCGGGAGCTGTGTGCTGCTGGGTGGAGTGCTGCTGCAGCTCTGTGGCCTGTCCTGCTGGAACAACAGCCAAGATGAAGACGCTAAAGCTGACGAAGAGTGCACTCACGACTGTGAAAAAGTGGCTGCTGTAGCCTGAAGTACGAATGCACAACCTTTTCTTTGCTGTGTTCTGCCTCCCAAAGACCTTGAATGAACAGGAGGCTGATTTTGGTTCATTTATTTTTACTATGAGGTGTTTTGCCTTATTGTTGATGTATTTGTTCCTGTGATTTAGTTCAGATTGTCTTTTTGAAGATACTATGTTAAACTGATGGACGTCAGCTTGTCCTCAGTAGTTTTTCATAGCCTTGTTTTATGAGGCTCCAGCATACGAAGGCAAGATTTTAGAAATGGTTTGTTCAATCTATTAATGCTGTTCGTTATGCTTGAAATGCATGTCCAGGCCACTACTTTTATATGCTGGTAATTGGGATCACAATGTCATGCCAAACTGAGAAATATTTTATTTACAAGACAAATAAGATCCCAATATCTGAGGTGGTTGTATTGATTTTTTTACACATATGCAACACTACACCAACAGTTTAAACAGTGTAGAGATGACTTTGGAGTGTTTTGTTCGGTTAAGAATGGCGTCTTGACGTTTCATCTTGTGTTTTCTACCAAAGTTGTTTTTTGTTTTTAAGGACTGAGTTGACAATCTCATAATGACATACCGTAAAACAAGATGTCTTTGTTCATGCTGCTTCATCTGTGGAAGTCCTATATTTTTCATATAGTTTTGGCCTTTTTAGATCAGGTGACAAATCTGATGATTCAGAATGGTTTTGTGTGTTGGATGAAGTTATTAGCTGAGCTTGATCTTTAAACAAATTGGTATAAAGCAATATGTACATGTAAATGCGGTAACCATTTTTTTGTCACTTGTTTGTTTCTATTTGTATACTCTTTGACCTAACTCTTGTAGAATTGTTTTTTACTTGCACTGATGTAGACTGCACAGTGTTTGTATGATTTGTTTGTCTTTTAGCTGACTTTAAGAAAATTTTTTACTTGAAACACGTCTCTACGATGTTAGTATTGTAGATATTTTCTTTGGTTATGGTGCCGGCAGGTGTGATGAACCCTTACACTATCTTAAACCACATGAAGCCACCTGTGTTATTTATGTATTTATGTTTCTAATGTCACTGTCAATTTGTAAGGTGTTTTTTTTTAGATAAAAATAAAAAATGACATAGAAGATCAACTAAGCGTAATACCTTTGTATTAGTAGAATGTAGTAGAATGTAACGAGTCTCCATATTTGAAATGGTCAGTTATGATGAATTATCGTTATAAACTGAGAAATATACAGTGTAAAAGAACACTGTCACGGTAAAGTTTTGTTGAGGTTCAACCAGCCCTCTTACCTTCTGTCACATATCTAGCTTTACGGCCCTTTCCTCTGAACTCTGGAACTTCACCTCTTTTACAACCCTTGTTGCTCTTCTTTTGTCAACCTGCCAATTTTACCCCATGTACAGTACTGTGAAATAGTCTGACAACACCCTTTTCAGTCAAAACAGCCTTTAAGTTACTCATTTTTATTTTTCAAAGTCAAGAGAAAAGCAGAAAACATATATTTTCCATTACACGCAATTATACAGAAGGCTCATCAACAAAATACCAGATTTTTTCAGAATTGTGTGTCCACACTTTGCCTTCATTACAGCTTTTACTGTTTTTTGCAGACTTGCTTTCAGTTTTTCCAAGAAATCTGCAGGCATATTTTCCCACTCTTCTAAAGTTCAGTCAAAGAAGTTGCATTTTATGCTTCTCACGATCACAGTAATATTATTTTCAAATTTAGACTCATCAGTCTATAACTCCTTACTCCACTACCTCACCCTTGCATTATCAAATTTCACTAGATTCTCCCAATTTTGCTTTGTCTGTCCCTTCAGCAGATGATTTGTGCCTCAAGGACCTTCATTTGTTGGCTCTTCCCTCACTGGGACAGACAGGCATCAATTTATTTTATGAAGATGATGGATCCTGCAGATGACCACTGCTCCATCCAGTGACTTGCCCCTGTGCCATTGGGGTACTTCTGAAAGGTTTCTTTCTCATGCCCTTAAGGAGTTTCTCCATCCACGCTCTACTCTCTAGGGGTTTAAACGCAGATTTTGGTAAAGCTGCTTTGAAACAATGTCTGCTATAAACTGTAATGAATCAAACTTTACACACCATCACACGCCAGCTAGAGCAGCCTCCACCTGTTCAGGCAAAAGTCCACCTATTCACATGACTCTTTACTGTCCAACATCCAGCTCTAACAAATGCTGTACCGTCTAATTTTAAAACTAGATTCTTTGCTTCCCACCTGTTGTTTATACTCTTTGTAGTAAATTATCCATAAGTGCTTACAGTTCTCACTTCTATAAGTTTTGAACAACAGTCAAAGTTATCCAGTTATTCAAAACAAGATAGTGAAGTAGTAGTAAAAGTTGTCTTGCTGCACTGTGTAAACGAGTAGACTAGACTGATAATATGGAAGTTTGACTTTTCCATCTAAGCCTCTACAGAGTCTGATAATGCAGCACTCAACATTGTACTTTAAAGACGCTGCTTTAAATTGCGGAACATTCAATGCAATTGCAAATGTGGAGGTACCCAGCATTATTGGTGCTTTTCGTGGTTTCTATTAACTAGCTTTTAGGGTTGTGTTTTTAGGGTTTTGTTTCATAACATCTCATACTCATTTATTTTATTGTTGTCATCTGTAGCTTTATTGGCACTTAACAATAACTCAATAACTCTGCTTGCAGAGCGTTTTTCTTTTGGTAGATTTGAAGGAGAAAGAGGTGCTAAGGGAAGTGCTGGTCACTTTAGGCAGTAACATGAAACACATCTAAACAATACTACTGTACTCAAATGTACAAAATTATCATTATTCCCAATATTCCAAGGCTGGCTGGTGCTGTAATAGCAGCTTATGGCAATATTTCCATGCCAGTGTTATTTCTGAGACAGAGGGTCATGAACAGCTGATTCTTGCAGCAGGAGGGGGGCTTTCAGTGGGCCCATAGGATCTTTTTTTAAGGACTCATCTTTTGTATTTGTTTATTTCAGAATGCTAAGGCCTTCAGGTCAGTAGCTGAAGGTCAAAGACACTGACCTAAAGTGGTCAGTGTTAATTATTGGTTCAAGTCCTCTTCAGGACAAAGACTTTTGGTTAGCTGTGAGGAATGGGGTCATTATATGTTCAAAACCTGAAGAGGAACTCCAAGTTCTGACTGTGTGAGGCTGCAGAAACATGAGGCATACATGAAATGTAAACACTCACTGTGAGGACGTAGTCTGGTAACCTTGACTCTTGGACTTTTGGAGAGATTGCGAGAGGTGAGAGGAATTGCAGCTAGAAAAAAATGGATGTTGACCTGTCTTTCAAATATACAAGTATGAATTGAAACCTATCAGCAAGGCTTTGACTTCTTCCTTTTGTTCATATTTTTATCCGCCCTACTTCATCTATCTTCCTTGCTTCACTCACTTCCCCAGTACCACCACCACAGAACCAAGGCTGAGGCTTTGAGATGGAGAAGCAAGGCTCTGAACATCCTTTTTAGTGATTCTAAATTAAATCAATAAATTAATTAATGATTTAAGATGTTCCTAAAAATGAGTGGAAACAACACCTGCAAATCTCAAACAAAATGTCTAAAAATACATCACAGGTCCTGTGGCTTCATTGTGTTGCAAGAAAGTGACTGAGTGACAAATGTTAAAAAAAATGCAACTCACTCATGAGGTCCTGTGGCTCGCTGGTAGCTGCCAATCTTCCAAGGTCAGCAGGTTGCTGGTTCGAATCCCAATCTGTATCTGTGGAAGATGTGACATGCAATGCATAAGGCTTGATGAATGCTGGAGGGCAGTATCTAAGATCGGGAGAGTTAACCTGAGCTCCTTTCCAGCCTCTGATGAGAATGGGTTACAGAGCTGTAAACCAAGGTATTGTAATTCATTTTTTTGTAATTCTGTTTTTGTCCCCTCACTTTACCAGAGGCATTAGGCCTTTTCTTCCCATTGTTCCTGTTTGACCCACAAAGCAACCAATTCTCACACTCTCTAACCTTTTTTCTTTCTTGGTGAGAGTCTTGAGCATGTGTTGATTGCTCAGATCAAGAACAGGCTCTCAGTCATCTTTTTCTCACCTGATCCTGGTTTTATACGCTCATAAACACTTCACCCAAATCTTCACCCAAATCTTCACCCAAATCTTTATCTGCAGCAAGAGAGTTGTAGATTTTTTTATACTGGCTGTTCACATTTATGCATCTGACAGACGTTTTTGTATAGAGCAATTTACAACTGAATCACACTAAAATGGCTTTGCTTTGAAAATTGCCTGTGCCTTAATTAAGTTTATTTTGTTAAAATAAATGATTGAACATTTAATTTTGTCACTACCAAAGCAATCATAACAGCACTGAAACTTACCAAATCTATTTTTGAGCATAACTCAAAATGCTAGCCAGTACATGAGTAGCAGACACAGCTTTGATCAGTTATACACACATAAACTTTTTCATTAAAACTCAAAATGGTTAGTTAATTGCGGAAAATATGCATTTCAGTAGTGACAGTTCTTAATGTTCCACACTGATTTTCAAAGTTTTGGCACACATTTACAACAAAACAGTGGGATTTAATTGCTCATCATGTGGCCATAAGGGACAGGGATGCAGTCTCACTTCCTGCTCTAAAATGCAGATGAGTGGCTAAAATCAGGCTCCGCCTACAGACTAAAACCTTTAGTGGTTTGTGTGTTTTTTTTATCTGAGTTTATTTCTGAATTTATTAATACAACTTTAACAATTAACTACAGAGACACATTCAGACTGATAAACACTATAGTAGTATCTATATTAACAATCAGATTAAATTAAATTATATAATAAATAAATAAATTAACATTACTAAACAAATAATGTAAAGTGATCATAATGAAATATATATATATATATATATATATATATATATATATATATATATATATATATATAGATAGATAGATAGATAGATAGATAATATAATTAAATAAACAAATCATAACAAATAATTCATGATAAGTCAACAGGGGCCTAACACAACACATCTTGATAGCTAGCTAAGTAACTAACGTATGTAGAGAACACAGGAGGAAGGAGAGCACCAAGACATTTCAAGGTTCTGCCAGGGTTTTGTTTCCAAGACTCCTACTGACATATAAACCAACAGCTTTATTCAGCTGTAAAATTAGCAAAGCTTAAAGCCTCTACATGACTAAAATACTTTATAAAATACAACATATCTCTAATCCATTGTGCATATGACGGAAGATTGCTGTCTTTCCATATAACCAGAATTTGTTGTCTAGCCACCAATGTGGCAAAAGATAAAAGACATCCTTTGGTGTTATCTAAAAAATTCTAATTCTGTGACACCACACCAAATAAAGCAGGTGAGGCTGATGGTTCTAATGATTCATCAGTCATGTTAGAAAGCATATTAAATATTTATTGCCAGAAACAAAATGTTAACTAAACTAACTACATGTGAATAAACATGGCTTTTTTTCTGCTTGCAATGGTCACATATTGGGTCTGTGTTGGATGTGAACTGGGATAATTTAACTTTAAAAAAGTTAAACTGCATAACTGTATGCTTCATACATATCAAGGATGAATGAATTCCTCCTATCATCTTTAAATAAGTAGATTCCTAAATTTCTATTCCCAGATTCTTCTCCCACAAGTCTTTAAGTGAGTTGGGACTTGTCGTATTTTCTCTCATTAATAAGAATATATGTCCCCTATCTTAAACTCACTGGATGATGTCATTTATTGAATCCAATGAGGTGTCTAGGGGCTATGAAGGGAACTAAAGTCAATTCTTAATTCATTATAAATAAAGCAGGATTACCAATTCTTCATGATAAATTCATAATGTTTGTGCCCCCTAAAGTAAAGTGATCAACGATTCACACTTTATTACTGATTAAATACTGATTCTGATTGTTGTTCTACAAACATCTGTAAAACAGACAGAACTGCTACTTAACATCACAAAGATATTCATATTGCAGCGTGTGGTGTTTCCAAAGAACGCACACAAGTCCGAGTCCATGACTCGCTTTACCGAAAACCCAGAAAGGTGTACAAAAGAAAAGGGGAGAATATCACGCTAGTTTTGCGCACGGCTATGCTATGCACAGCTATTGCGCCCTCTCGCTGTCTCGCTGTTTACTACCAGGCCCTGTGATGCGCTGCCACCGTGCGCACACAGCTCTTCAGAATAAGAGTCCCTGTCAAAGGAGCAAATGAACCAAGCAACCTAAAATCAACACTTCATTTTTAAGCAAACAGAATACATGCATCACATATTAACAGAATAACACGACGTTTGTGAGAAACACAAACTCCTTACTACTCTTAAAACCAAAAAGGTTTACTGCAAATAAGTAAGCACCAAACCAAATTTTTAAACTACTTTACAACGAATTCAGAAATAACAGAATCTGTAAACCCGTTCTGTTTCGCCACAGATAACAGGTGCATGTTTCACATGTTAGTCTAAAAAGACGTGAGGCACGTAAATACATACTGGCAAACACTCACAACACTTAGACAACTTGGCAATACCATGTGCAAACATTATATCTGCAATGTAAATTGCGTATATAATCCAGTATGCGTAAGCATAACTCACCTGTAAAAGTAAGAAAAATGCTTTCATGTTGGAGATCTTTTTTATTATTATTATTATTTCAATAATTTTCATTCACTTCTCTTAAACAGTTTCACAGAGGTATTCACTCAAGGCTCCATGGCCACTTGACATATAGTGATTATCGCAATTACTGCCACCTACTGGCGAAGAAAAATAGCTGTAATTTCCAGCTGCGGAAACAGCTGAAGAGTTTCATTCCAAAATGCTGGGTTTCCATTACCAAAAAAATAGATACAACACATTTTTAAAATAACAGATGTATAATGGGAAACACATTTTTATTTTTCTAAAGGTGGTATTTTTCATAATGGTGGCATATATTAAGATAATTCACAGTTTTAATTAAATCAAATGCCTGTTTTCAGTAAATAAACTAAATACAAACAACAGTTTACTTTTATGTTGTAACAGTATGACATTGCAGTATGACATAGGTAATCATAAATTGCATGAATAGGATGAAAGGCTTCTAGCAGTGCACCAATGTGTACTAACATTCTTTTTGTATGCTTAATTAACACATGAATTCCTATTAAATACAGATGCTGAAGAAAGCCTTTATTACCTTCATCTTCATTCATTAATACATGCGTTAGTAATCTAGTCTTATTGTTGTTAATATATAACTTATTTATTTGTTCCTGATTCATGACTCATTACTTTCTAATTAATTAATAATTAGTAAATGCCTAAATTACTGGCAGGGCATGTACCCTTAATGTAAAGTGGCTTGTAGTCCAGGAGCAGTGCTGAAAAATAATTTCTTTGTGCAGTGTAAGTATCTGCTTCTCTGTGCATATAACAACAAACTCTTGCATCTTCACTCTTAAAAAAAAGTTTGAAAGCCCAAGCCAGGTGACACCTATGCTCGGTTCTGTGTACTTCAGTGAAACTGCACTGTATGAATATTTTGAAACATTTCTCCATGGCCTTTTTGTTCATCTTTGCTATGGGTGCCAATAATTCTGGAGGGCAGAATTAGCTCCCCAGACATAACCAGTGAGCAGGGTTTGTTTTCCTGTGAGACAAGTAAAGTAGACATCTGGTGGAGAATTAGAGGGCACTGAAGGAATACCTCCCCTCATTTAGAGACAGAAATGTCTGTGCAAACACAGCCTCTGAAGTCACAGAGAAGGTGCTTAGACTACCTTTTATTTGACTAAATGTCAGGTTTTTAAATTTTGTTACGGGTAATTATAACGTTTAATGACTTAAATGTTAAAAGTGTCTGTAAAATTAAAAAAGAAACCAGTTGTTCTGACACTGAATGGAAAGAGGGAATAAAGCTTGGAAAAACAAATTGTTAAAGTGCCATCATACTGTAAAAAGTGCTACTAGATAATTTTACTTAGTGCTACTAGGTATAATACTCAACATTTGTGGATATAGCCAATTAGAACTGGTTCCTAATTTAACAAAATAATATTTCAAGGAACACAATTTCTGCTCTTGTATTCCTAAACCAGCAACGCTGTCAAAAATCATCTTATATTTTCTGAGTTCTGTTAACTCAAGAACATTTCAAAGTCCAGGAGCAAAGAACAAAATTTACATAATTTCCACGTACCCCAGATGTAGTTGGTCAGCCAAGACATGTTTGATGTCCAAAATTTGCTTTACTGACAGTTAATAATAATCCAAATCTTTGAATGGTTTGCTAAAAAAAGAATGTATATTTTTTTCACTTACTCCAGATGTAGTAAATCAGCCAAGACACTTTTGTTGTCTAAATTTTGCTTCTCTATTTTAGGGCTGCTAACGAACACTAAAAGTCAATGGTCACCCAAATTGTTTCCATAAATACATACCAAAAACTACCCTCAAAACGCATCCACATCCTCATTAAGTTCACGCAGATTTGTCAATGAGGTTTAGGACACAATATGATTTACTGTGAACTGCAAAACTGAACAGAACTTAACCATGTAGACTCTGTGGGGTGAGCCATTTTAGACAAACGGTTTAAGTTTTCCTTTAATTGTGTGCAATGTTCAATCAGTAAGATTATGTCTTTTGGTTGACAGGCTAATTGGGTGCACCCCAATCCAATTTCACTATGTTTCAAGAGAGAACAATCAAATGAAAACTTTATCATACAATGTGATCACAGGAAAAAAAAACCTGTATTATGTATTATTAAATGTAAATGCTAAAAAAGCCTTTACAAATAGGAAATAAAGTGTCTTGTTGAAAGAAAAAATAATGTTACATGTCAATGAGGTGAGAAAATTTCACTACAATGAAATGAGTAAAAATATCTAGAGACAGGTCTAACAATCTTGTGTTTGAACTACTATATAAGAGAATTTATCTCATGAAGAGAACTTAAATCTGCCTATGTTCAAGATATCTTAAACTGATATCACTGTTTTCCAGCCCAAAATTACATGGTGGGGATTTTGCTTCAAAAGAACAAGA